GAAATTGATAGATAGATAGATAGATAGATAGATAGATGAGATAGATAGATAGATAGATAGATAGATAATGAAAATATAGATAGATAGATAGATAGATAGATAGATAGATAGATAATGAAAATACTGAGATAGATAGATAGATAGATAGATAGATAGATAGATAGATAGATAATGAAAATACTGAGATAGATAGATAGATAGATAGATAGATAGATAGATAGATAGATAGATTATCGGTCATTCGGTACCTCACTTCTAATGTAACCGTATCAGGTTCTTATAATACAAACAACCGATATTATAATGTATTATTCATTACGAAAATACACAGCATTTAAACACTTTACATAAACCAATATGAATATACATTATTCACAAATTAAATATACACCTGTAAGAATAAATGTTATTAAAAATCAATATTTTGTCTAGCCGTTTTTACATTTGTAGTTTGACTTACATTAACTGCACTCGATTCGAACAAAATATCACTGGAATGTTTTCTCCACTATGAAAATATTATGTTTCCCACATTTTTTTTTCGTTTTTGGATTTCTTGGATTGCTGTCATTTTTCTTCGTTCTATTTAAACACGGTCCACACGTTCTCATCGACATCCGTTGACTGGATGAGCCAATCGAGCATTTTAACAGTTGGTTCATTAGAAAAAAATGATTTACTTATCAGAATGCTTTGGAACATAGCTCTCTTTCTCAAGAGTTAGGAAGACACGTTCTTCATTCCTTAGCCAACCAGTAAGTTAAGAATTAAGATCCATCAGAATATTAAAATAGGAAAACCATGAAATGTTGTCGGGTATTTCTAGTTTGATTTATCAGATTTGAGTAAGGGAATATACCCGGATGGAAAGATCTCTCTTTTCTATTCTTTCTTTTCTTTTCTGTACATTTTTCTCACTTTCACTTTTTTAGCCTGAAAAGAAAGACAGTTACTGAAAGAGAGAAATAATGTAGAGAGAGAGAGAGATAGAGAGAAATAGAGTGTTATACAAACGGGAGGAGAAAATTAAATATGGAAGGAAGAAAAAGAAGATAAATTCAAATAAAAGTGAGAGTAACAGTAATAGAAAAAGAAAAGAACTAATTAAAATAGTAACATATAAAATGAAAACAGAATGAAAGAAAATTATAACAAAAAGTAAAATATAATTATTAGTGACTAAATACTGTTTCTTTGAGATAAGCATGTCGTTGTCTTTATATATTATTCTAAATTCATAGCATGTATACAGAAGAAAACTTGATCTACACGAAAAGGATATACAAATAATGTTCCTTTTGTACGCAAACGGCTTCTTTGTCTAACGAAAGTAATTATGTGAATACACCAATATAGAAGCAGAAATACCAAAAGGGTGTGTTTTCTCCTTTGATATATTTAACCTGTACAATGAGGATGATTTTCAAAGTATTACACGACCACCCAGGAATATATTATTGGCGGGGATAACCGTAACACTATACGCTAGATAAATAAAGGCCTATTCAGAACGAAAACTGAAAGCTAAGAGACAATTCAGTCGAGTAAAGCAAGTATAAATGACTGTATATTCGTTGTATGACGATGGAATATATGGGAAGGGTTAGGGTTAAGCTGAAGTACTAATTGCCGACGTCCAATGGAAACAGATGCAGAAAATCAACTGTCTGGGCAGTGAAATAACTGACGGCGCCAAGCGTGATGTCATTCTACGGCACATAGGAATAGAGAATGGTATTTAAAAAAAAATGAGTTAATTAAATGGCCTATAAATAATACAAATGAATGAATGCTCTAATTCTATGCAATGTCGAATCTCTTATACGACAGTGAGTGCAGTAAAAAAAAAAAGCTCTTTCCATATGAAAGAAATAGTACAATCGACGTAGATGTCATTCGGACGAATATACGTCATTAGAACGTCTTATTCTATGCCGTGTCCATTCAGAAGATAAACGATTTAGGGATTGTCACACCGTCTTGTCTTTTGTCGTTCTAAGTAAATTTGGATCCTTTAGCGTCATTCTTTGCCATTGTTCCGCTACCCATTTCTTTCGTTTTATGTCGTCTGTAGTGTCATTTCATCGGCCCTCAACGCTATACGAACAACGATGAATCTTATTTGGACGGCTTATGACCACATCACGTCAAAACACTGGTTCTCGTACGATCATCGAAGTTCAGCAACGTCAAGCCTTGTCAAATGAGTGACCTCTTGGGAATAAAAGACAGCGTGAGTTGTAATGGCTAATGACATGGAATTGTTAATCCGAAAGCCGTGTTCCAATTCCCGTTGTGTTAATTATACTGACTTACACGGAAATACCCTCGGGAAAGGTATAAATCCAACTCTTCTCCTCCAGCTATGCGTTGATAAACCATTATGTCTTTAGAAAATTCTTACAAACTAAAAATATTTTCTGGCTTTAAATAACTTGCAAATGGTTGATAAGACAAAATGAATTGAGGAATCAGTGTTTGGACAAATTAATCTGACAAACTAATATGTTTTAAGGATAACATATACGGCTACTAATAATAAAAAAAAAAACATGGCTGAAATTTTCGACAGATAATAAGGAAAGCCTGTTTGGAGAATTTAAAACTAAACGTACCCACGGTAGGTGAGAATAGATTAGAAGAAAGGAATTAGTAACCTACCTGAGAGTAAGTAAACGATAATATGAAAAAGCACTACAAAATGAACCGTAATGGAGGCAGGTATAATGACCAACAAAAATAGGAAATTATGGAGAGTCATGATCTTCTATATATCGACAGAAGAAAAAAGTAGCCATGCAGCTTTCCGTTCAAACGTGATCGTTACTAGACATTCTTAGAGTTTCATTATCAGCTAAACTATAGTAATAATAATGTCTTATATAGAGTATTAGAGGGCACGGTGGAGGTGTAGATAGCGACTCCGATTGAGGAATCGCAGAGCCGAGTTCGAATTCCAGTTACTTACGTGCTAATACCCTTGGGAAAGGCATTAATATTGTTCTCCCTCTAGCTATGGGTAAATAGCAGGACAGACCGGGTTCTATAGCATGGGGTAGCAATTGGTCTAGGAGAACGACAACTCTGAATTCTAAACCTTTGAAGAGTTTGTCGTTTGGAGACCTTGTGGCACGCACTGCACCAGGTCTCTGTATTCGGCCCTTCAAAAAGTGTGGTTGGTTCTGCACAAATTCTTCACCACTATAATTAAATCTCATGTGCTGTTATCTGAGCTTTGGTTTGGTTTATTTTCTTTTACGGCATATCGACCTCAATGGGTTATTTTATGCCGACAACATTTTTTATTGCTGGTAATATTTTGTTTTGTGAAAAATCTGTTTCTGGTAATATATTTCCTTCAAAATTTATTGCAGTTAACTATTTGCCCATAGATGGTGCCCTAACAGGTGCTACCACCCCGGGTCAGGGTGGACCTGGGAACACCAGTAATTAAGTGGTAGTTCCACGCTCCTCAAAACCTCATGATCAGAGGCCTTGCTGCTGGACGTAGTTTAACGTCTTACCAAGGACGGGGATGTAGTTTAACGTCTTAACGGGCCTGAGTTGTGAATACGACGGGCGTTTCCACTGTAGACTATTAGAATGCCTTATTTTATGGATCACTTGAGAACGCGAAGATTCGTGGACCTTAAGACCTTCTTGCCATATGTTGCTCTAAGTAAATTTCAACTCTTTATCTTTCTTCTTTCTCAACCTTCTGTCATTCATTTTTTGTATTTCGTTTCTTCAGTAATTTCAGTTCTTCATTTACCAACGATAAATCCTCGATTACATCAACAACGGATATTTTTTTTTTTTTACTACCCGCGTTATTTCATAATGGACACTAGCAATAAATCCTTATCTAGGATGAAATAAGTGGTAAAAGGCGATGGCCGTGAGGACACGTGTCAAATGGTCGGACCAAATCACATTGCCACATGATGGCTTTCCTCGCTACGGAATCTTAGTGCGCGGGTAAGTTTGAAACTTTTAGCGCTTACAGTTGTTTCCGTGTCTTCTTACATTTGTCGTTTTATATCAAATCATAAGTAAAAGGAATCTAACACTGGTAGACTTCTACGCCCTTGGGGTTTAAGCCAATGCTCCCCAAATCAGATCGGTCGTCAGAGTTCTAACTAGTAGTTTGCCATTATGAAACATATTCACACAAACTTATTAAGTAGGTTACTTGCAATTTCTTTTTGTTTCTATTGATCTCAGTAAGACTCATCAGTTATACATTCTTCAGGCCTTCTTTCCATGTTATGTGTACCTAAAATTTGATTTACCGCTTTTGGATCACAAATACAGGAATGTTGGTGAGTAGAAATAAGCAGATTAATACAGAATCTGATCCAATATTCACACCTTTAATAATCCGACCACTGATACAAAGGAACAAGTAATACATAGAAGACAGGTCCATATATTTTTCGGTGAACCTTGTTCTTCCAGGACGAAGGTGATCATGCCTTCGTACAATTTTCTATTCTTTGTTACTTATAATATATGTTGTATTTTTCTTATATCGTTTATTTTCGTTCCGCCATTTTTTTTTACTTAAGCTCGTCACGTGGGTTATGCGTTATTGTCTTCTGTCCATCTTGTCTTCATTCTATCTCGTGAATATCAAATTTTCCAAGCATTCTATCCTCATAATGTGCCCTAGAAATTTCAACTGCATTTCCCTGATGTTAATTATAAATGTGTTTTTTCCCCATTTCCTATCAAGCTTCATCTTTGCTCACATTCCCAGCATGTTTCTGTAAAACCACATTTCTGTTGCTTCATGTTTCTTCTTCATCTGTGAGAAGATTGCCAAGATTTAAAGATAGTAATAAGTATGCTAGTCATTGTAAACGTCCTTAGGTTTGTACGTGAGATCGTTGTTCTCGACGCGACCCACTTATCCAAACCAGATTAAATAAAGTTTTTTTTTTTTAAATCAACTTTTTGGTTCAGCAGAGAATTTTTCAGCAACCCTATGTACTCATGAAATATCCTTAAGCGCTCATCATGTATTTGCAGTTAAATTGCTGCTTTCAAAAATCATGAACGTTAAGCTGAGATCTTGACTCTGTAAATCGCGCCCTTCAGCCAGAAATATGCCAAGTTTAGTTAATATTTTCTGTCTGTACATTCTAGTCTATCACGTGGCCATTTGTATTGTATTTCACTTCCCTTTTCCTCTTCTGTTTATTTTTTTTATTTTTATTTTTTTTTATTTTTTCACTTCTCTTACCCTGTATATTTCGGCTTTTCTCTCGTTCTATCGTGTATATATTTATATTCCCTTAATATTTTCTTTTTATTTACTTACACCATAATTTTTTAAAAGTTGTCTCTATTTTTTTTCGTTCTTTATCTACGCCATTTTTTCCCTTACTTCTCGTGATTTATTTCTCGTTTCCTTTTTGCGTCTTTTATTTTCGGCATTTTTTTTTCCTACGCTTTCTCTTTTTACTCATCCTACACTTCAAATTGACGTCAGAACGTAGACTATCGATTTAACACTAAAACGTTTTCCACTATCTATGCTTTCTCTCTTTCACCTCATCCCTCTCTTTACACTTACCGTCTGTCTCTCTCTGTCTTTCTCAGCCCTATTCTGTGCGTCTGTTTCTTTCCTTTATCTCAATTCACCGTTTTTTTTTTAATGTTGTTATTCTTTTGCCTATTTTTTCTTCTCATGAATTTTGTACAAATGGAAACGACTAGCGTAACACCAAATATTTTCAGTCCACACACTCTACCTCCCTATCTTTCTTTCTTTCTTTATTTATTTCTGTCTTTCTTTTTTCTTTCTTTCTTTCTTTTTCTTTCTTTCTTTCTTTTTTCTGTCTTTCTTTCTTTATTTTTTCTTTCTTTCTTTCTTTTTCTGTCTTTCATTTTTCTGTCTTTCTTTCTTTTTCTTTCTTTTTCTTTCTTTCTTTCTTTTTTCTGTCTTTCTTTTTTTCTGTCTTTCTTTTTTCTTTCTTTCTTTCTTTCTTTCTTTTTTTCTTTTTCTGTCTTTCATTTTCTTTCTTTCTTTCTTTTTTCTGTCTTTCTTTTTTCTTTCTTTTTCTGTCTTTCATTTTTCTTTCTTTCTTTTTCTTTCTTTCTTCTTTTCTTCCTTTTGTTTTTTCATTCTTTCTTTTTTCTGTCTTTCTTTCTTTCTTTCTGCCTTTCATTTTTCTTTCTTTCTTTCTTTCTTTCTTTTTTTTTCTGTCTTTCTTTCTTTCTGTCTTTTATACTTTCTTTCTGTCTCCGCACTATGCGCCTTTTAGTACATTATTCTGTTTTTTTTTTATTTTCTAGCTCACTGTCCGCCTCTCTGCTTATATCACTCGCTTACTCCCTTTTCTGATATTCTCTCTTTACCTGCCTTCTTCGACTGCAAAAATTACGCTTTTTAACTCTCGCTTTGATCTTCTCCCGTTTTTCTCTGTCTACATAGACCTCTTATCTAAATTCCTCTCTTAATGTCCGTGTCTCTGATTGTCCCGCGCATTCTACTGCAGACACACACACACACGCACACACACAGACACGCGCGGACACATATACATACATACATACACACACACACAAACACATGTATATATAATATATTTTTATTATAAGAGATTATAACAACAAAAAATATATCACTACTCAAAAGCTTTCATGTTTCAATCGAGTATTGAAACATGAAAGTTTTTGTGCAGTGATTTAAAATGTTTTTGTTATAATCTTTTATAATAAAAAATAATAATAATATTTTCCTCTACTTTGTATTGAGCACGTTTTTAAAAGTAAATATAATGTAACAATTGTATTACAAATTGCTCATTTTAATCAATTGAAAGAAAGGTAGTCTGAATGGCTGATCCAATTTTTAATATATATATATATATATACATACACACACACATATATATATATATATATATATACATACATATATATATATATATATACATACATGTATATATATACATATATATATATATATACATGCACACACACACACACACATATATATATATATATATATATATATATAAAAGAATTTGTTAACTGTAATTTTCTCGAATCCTCAGTTTCCTGGTAATATCTCCACTTTTTAAGGGGTTAATTCCTTAACTGATTAAATAATTAATTAATACAGACTAACCCGTTGAAAATATGGACACATTACAACGAAACTGAGAATTCGGGGAAAATTACAGCTAAGTAATTTTTTTGTATATACAAAAATAATATTTTTCTCTCCCTTTTCCCTCTCCTCTTTGTATCTCATTCTTTTTTCCCCTTTCTTACTTTTACACTAAATTTATTCAGTTTACGACAAAATCTCTCTCTATTCCTGTTTCCAACTCATTCTATCTCTTAAATTACGTTTTTTGCTCTCTTTTTCTTTACTCTATATATCTATTTCTCTTTTATGTCTGACTGTTATATGTTAATCTCTCTTTTTTCTACATTTCTCTCTTAGTCACATTTCCTTTCTTTTTTCTTTGCTGTCTGTTATTATTCATTATCTTTAGCTTATTCTCTAAATCTATTCTACAAATTCTCTTTATTCCCATTTGTCTATAATCTCGACTTATTTTTCACCTTATCTCTTATGTGATTTTGTCTCTTAATCCGTTCTGAATTTTTTCGTTTTCTTTTTTGTAATCGCTGTTTAATTTCTTTGACTTTCTTCTCTTTCTGTTTGTGACATTCATTTTTTTCTTTTTCTCTTTTTTTCCCCATCTACTTTCGTCCTTTTTCATAGACACATTCTAACATAGTTTTCCTGATGCTAATTTTATTTTGTATCCATTTTACATAATCTCCCTTTGTCTGTTTGTATACCTACTTACCCTTCCCTGCCTCACTTTCTTTCGCATCTCTTTGTGCTTTCTTGCCGCCTCCCCCCCTCTGGCAGGATGTGACACAAGGCCAGTTTAACGTGGAGACGCCGAGCGCCTTTCTTTCACCTCATACTGTCTTCTTTCAGCATCTATTTCTTACACTTTTCTTGTGCTTTCTTGTCGCCCCCCTCTGGCAGGATGTGACACAAGGCCAGTTTAACGTGGAGACGCCGAGCGCCTTTCTTTCACCTCATACTGTCTTCTTTCAGCATCTATTTCTTACACTTTTCTTGTGCTTTCTTGTCGCCCCCCCCTCTGGCAGGATGTGACTACAAGGCCAGTTTAACGTGGAGACATGAGCGCCTTTCTTTCACCTCATACTGTCTTCTTTCAGCATCTATTTTACACTTTTCTTGTGCTTTCTTGTCGCCCCCTCTGGCAGGATGTGACACAAAGGCCAGTTTAACGTGGAGACGCCGAGCGCCTTTCTTTCACCTCATACTGTCTTCTTTCAGCATCTATTTCTTACACTTTTCTTGTGCTTTCTTGTCGCCCCCCTCTGGCAGGATGTGACACAAGGCCAGTTTAACGTGGAGACGCCGAGCGCCTTTCTTTCACCTCATACTGTCTTCTTTCAGCATCTATTTCTTACACTTTTCTTGTGCTTTCTTGTCGCCCCCCCCTCTGGCAGGATGTGACACAAGGCCAGTTTAACGTGGAGACGCTGAGCGCCTTTCTTTCACCTCATACTGTCTTCTTTCAGCATCTATTTCTTACACTTTTCTTGTGCTTTCTTGTCGCCCCCCCTCTGGCAGGATGTGACACAAGGCCAGTTTAACGTGGAGACGCCGAGCGCCTTTCTTTCACCTCATACTGTCCTTTCTTTCTTGTCGCCCCCTCCTCAGTTTGGCGGAACGCATGAGCGCCTTTCTTTCACCTCATACTGTCTTCTTTCAGCATCTATTTCTTACACTTTTCTTGTAATTTTTCATCTCTTTTTTCTTTGGTTTTCTTTTTGTTCTCTTTCCATCACTCTATCTTTCTCTATTTTTTCTCTTCTCTCTGCTTATCTATTTCGCTATCTCTCTATTTTGTTTCTTTGTATCTCAATTTAATTCACTTCTATTTGTTTCCTCTCTGGATCTTTCTTCTCTTCCGTCTTGCTTCTACCGATAGAGTTCTTGCTTTCATGTTCACTCAATCTTTAATTTTGCCCCCCACCTCCCACATCTGTCTTAATTTGACTCTTTTTCTTTGTCTTCTTTGTGCATCTTTTGTTTCTCTTACTTCTTTTCCTTCATTTCTTCTTTTTCTCTATTTCTTCTTTTCCTTGTATCACTCGTTTCTTCCTCGTACTTTTCCTTCTGCCCATATCTCTCCATCTGTATTTTTGCCTTTTGAGAACATCTGTTATTTCTCTTTCTCTATTTCTTCCTCTCTCTCTCTCTCTTTCTCTCTCTCTTTCTCTCTCTGCAACTATCTTTCTTTCTCTTTCTTTTAACTCTGACCACATGTCTCCTTTTGTATCGCATTTTATTTGCCTTTCAGTTCCATGTGTTATTTTGTCTGTTTCTCTTTCTCTATTTCTTCGTCTCTCAGTGTCTTTCTTTTCTTCGCTCTTCTTCTCATTCTGTCTATATCTCTCTTTTTGTATCTATGTTTCTCTGTCTTCTTAGTTCTTTCTATTATTTCGCTAACTGATCTGTCTCCATTTTGTTCACTCTTTCTATCTCTCTTTCTTTTTCTTTTTTTTTTCTCCATCTTTTCACTCTGTCGACATCTTAGTTTCTGTATGTCTCTTTGTTTGACTTTTGGCTCAATCTGATATTTCTTTTTTCTTCTCTTTCTTTGTTCTCTACATCTCTTCTTTTTTTTTTTACTTTTACACTTACGTTCCCTCGCTTCACCCTATTTTCTCTACCTCTTATGTTCCATTTTAAAACATTCTCTCAGTTTTACTCTAACAGCAACCTAACCAAACAGTTTTAACATCTCAAGTTCGTTCTACAGCAGCCCAACAAAAAATCCGTAAACAAACTAACAACGCATCGGGAAATAAAACAAAGTCAGACTGAACGAATAAACAAAACATTTAGTGATTGGATTACCGCAGTCGAAGGCTTCTTCCCTGGCTTCACATTTGGCATTTCTGACAAAGATTCAAACCGAAAGAACTGCCCAGCATAATGCAGATTTCTATTCTCGCTTTATTTATTTCTATCCACCTTTTACAGTTTCCTCTTCTTTCTATCGCTTTTAATTCCTACACTTTTTTCCTGACTGTCGCGCGCAAGAATTCATGTGAGATCATGGTCGTCTTGCAGTGTAGCGAGAAGCATTTCAGATTCAGAAACTTGTAAAACCCCTTGAACTACTGACACGTAAGTTTGCTTTTTTTCAGGCCACTTAGTAGAAAATATCCGTTTATATAACACGTGATATCCTGGACAGATTTTAATGCTTTAAAGCTGTAAAAAAATTAATTCACGTTAATAATTACACATGAAATTACGCCTTTCGGAAGAGAAATAAATAGAAAATAAATACGCACGTTTCCATGTAGTGTAGACGATAAGGTTTTCGTCAATATCAAATACTGCCGATAATGATACAGCTTTTTTCATGTTAGGAATTTGTATCATTAAAAATAAATAATCTGATAGTAGTGAAGAAAACCGCTACTCAGAATAATTGTTTAAGGAAATTTCGGTATTCAATATTTATGTTATGCACACCAATAAACGTAAAGTATCATGTCAGTTTTGTTAGCGAAAGTTACTGAAAGATCTCTCTATGTCTTTCGTTCTTTCCCTTTTCTGTTCTTTTACTTATTTTTCTTTTCTTTTTCTTCTTCTCTCTGTATATTTATTTCCCTATTCTTTCCTCCGCCCAAATATATGCCTCTCTTTAGAGATGTTGTTAGATCTAATCAGAAAAGATCACAGAATTCGAACTGAATACATCGCAATTCTTTTGTCACTGCCGTCTACGGTCAGTAATAAATATGTAAGTCCGCTTAGTTGCAAATTCTATTCATTTTGCATAGTTAACTTCATCGAATATAGAAGATAGCACAGCGGGTATATAATATTTCATTTTAAAACGTCGTAGGGCATTTGCTTTCACTTTCTCTAAAACCACAAAAGCAACCATCGATCATTCAACAAATTTTACTTAGGTGATCTGTATAAACTAAAGTTAATGTATTATTTCTCACGGGTAAATATTACAATCACGTAATAAATAAACCAAAAGAAATTGTCAGTGCAAATAGTGTATAGAAATTATTTTTCAAAACTGATGAATCGACGAAACGAATGGAGGAAATTATTATTATTAAATGATTTTACATTGCGATTTTTAATGCCATATATCTTTAAGAAGTTTTTGGTACACATTTTTACAGCATCTCTCTCTCTCTATCTTTTATTTCTTGGGAAAGGTGATGAAACCCAAACAGCCCAATCTCCTCTGCTATTTAACCTATACGTGGATCGAAGAAGAGATGGATTCCTTCCTTCCTCAAATGCATCCATGAAAAGTGAATGAAACAGACGCAACCAGAATTTGAACCTGGATCACCGTTTCCATTTCCGCACCGATAACAATTACGCTACCAGAATACATCGTTGGTATACCGTCTAGGTACTTCAAATTGCTTTTTTATATTTGCAACACTTTGGTCAATGTAACCTTCACCCTTCTTAGGGTGTCTGCTGTATGACATAGCCTTAACATTTGTGCCACTTACCCGTTTCCTCCCCTCAACTAGAAAATGAGATTTCCCCTCTACCCGACCCAAGGATTGAACTTACTGCCAGGAATATTATCTTATTATTTTTCCAATGCAGAAATCGGATAAGCTACAAGAACCGATAAGGTGAACTCTACTGGAGATTATTATCTGGTAGGAATTATGTCTCAAAAATTGAAATTGAAATAAGAACATTCTACTCTATACATTTAATAAAGGATTCGTTTGAAATTTTGTGAAAAGATTACTGGCAACCTGAAAATGTCTGAAGGGTACAGAAACCGAAGATCTGTGTGTGTAAGAACGGAATAAGTTTCCTGTTTCGTATTTAAAAGCATATAATATTGGCAGTAGTATGAGAACATTGCAAAGGATCTTCCTTGATAAGAAAGAATGCCCGCAAATGGAGCCTAGAGTTTATTTTGGTGCCGACTTCTGGTGTAGAGTGAAATATCGCATCGTTCATTTGCTAGTCAGATTTTGTTGAGTGTTGTTGTTTTGTCCATAAATGAATGCCTTAAAGATGGAGGATGAAAAATTGCACTTTCGCCATATTATGCATTATGAATTTCGCAGTAAGCGTAAGGAGTAACTGCAGCAAAAAAAAACATTCTGAAGGTTTATTTCGATCAACCTCCCTCTCTTCAAATGGTCAAGAAGTGTTTTGACAGATTGCATCAGGGTGATTCTAACGAAAACGATCGAGCATGCTCCGGATGACCGTTTGACGTCGATAAAGACGCTCTTCTTGTCACCATGGAGAATAAAAAACGATTCAAAAAATTATTCAGGCGGAAAAGCTTCATAAAAATTTGTAAATCGATATGTCAATAGCCTTTCACCATATGAAGAGACTTGGGTTCGTTTCGAAGCTCGACACGTGGATAACACGTTCTCTCTGAAGAAACAGAACCAGCTCTCTCGTTTTTCTCCGACGATTTCTTTGCTGTTACACAACCAAAAGGAACCGTTTCTTAGACAGAATTGTCAAAGGTGATGGAAAAGAGACATTTTCAGTTACCATTCCACGTTAACGATTCTTGAAACGAGCTTGTGAATGTGCGGAACCCGTGGCCAAAGCAGGATTTTATCCATCTAAGGTATTGCTGCCGGTTTGGTGGGGTTGCAGAAAGAATAATATAATTTGAGATTCTTCTAACCGGCGAATGAATAACTGCAAAGAAATATTACGACCAATTTGCCAATCTCAATGCGGATATTTAAGAAAAACGTCCAATTTTGGCAGATCGAAAAGGTATCAGTTTCCACCATGCTTAAGCAAGGGAGATTTTTGCCAAACAAACCATACAGAAGCTTTAAAAGTTGAAATGGTACCCCCCACCAGCAACATCCGTACTTTTTGTTACAAATTCATGACGGTCGTCTTCGAGTATAGAATGCAGAGGTTAGTAGTGAATATTTCGGAGACAGTAGGAAAGCGTAGTTCAGGTTCGCAGTGGATATCGCAGCAAAATAGCAGAGTGTAGTTCTGCCTTCTGTCATCTTCGCCTGTCAAGTTGGCACTGGTCATTCCGGTAGGGTAAACAAAGATGGCCGCCTTTATACACGACAGATACAATGTTCTGCGGCTTCTGATTGGTTAACCAATTGGTGGACTATAAAGGGAGTTAAGTCATTTTCACTAACTCATTAATTACATGATACATACACAAAAAACTGTAACACTTTTCTGACTTGGTTCCTTCGTATTTTTATTTGCTCTGGTCTCTAGAGGACAATTTAAATGACAAAAAATATTGGATTTATACAGTTAGTCGAAAACTAGCTGACAATATTCTTACAAAAAAATCACGAAGTTTTTACGATAAAGAAGCTCGTTAAACGATGGTAATTGACTAATAAATGTGTTGCTTTTTTGTGAATATGTAAAATTTATTTTTTTAATTTTCTAAACGTGCCCGAACTTTTGCAAAGATATAATATTTATATTGTAATAGCAACATTAGTCTTTTCCCTACAAAAAAACATTTGGCATTCATTTTTCGAGCAGCCAGAACAGATTTCGATTGATTTTTTTAAAGTATTTCTCTCAAAATATTACTTAGGAAAACAGATTTCTCAAGTCGATTCGCTGTTATCGTTCGTTCCCGCGTTGATAGGGGCTTCCTTCCTAACTCTTTATTTGAAGCAGTATGGTACTTTGATATCTGGAATATGTCATTATTTTCTCTTCAAGGTACCCAATTTGGTTGCTCCTGCTGTTGGTATCATTCAAATGATGCGGTTTCTGTTATTTAGTACAGTTCCTTGTTTGTGATTCTGTAGAGTCAGTCCACAATGTGTAAAGAAGAGGGATCTTTGTCAAGATCGTCAGCCTTTAATCGTTCAAAGGCTTTTTTCTGCCATTGATCCTAGGAGTCAGTTATATAGATTTGTTAGTTTTCATCATGATATTTTGGTTTCGTGACAATTCGAGGTGGTTGGCAAAACTGTATCTGGCGCTACTTATTCTTATGTTAAATTTCTTTCTAATACTATACTTAATTTGTTATTAATTGTCCATACACTGAAGTTTCTGAAATGTTCGGTGTTTACTGAGTGTCTATTTTGAATTGTTCTGATAGATTTAGGTTAGGTGCTATCGTTGCTTTTATTCCATTTCCGGATCAGAGTTTTTGTTTTGGAAATGAGACCCATTTGTTAGAACACTTGGTAGAGGAAGTTGATTTTCTCTTAAAGATTATTTTTATCCGAACGACGATCTGATCCCTCCATCATCAATACAT